AGTCCCGGCGAGGGCATTGCTCATTTGTCATGTCTCCTGCTTCGAAATAACCTAATGTCTCTACATGTGACGATATGCTTTATTTACTGGTATTGGTATTAGATGATTCAATTTCCCTGAGAAGGGTAAAACGTGTGGAAAAACTTGAGCGATTAAAGAAAAAAAAAATCTTTCTTATTAAAATGCGAGCCTATTAGGAAGAAACTTTTTTATAGGCTATATTCTTTTGGTCAAGATGTCTTTAAATATATCATAAACCAAAATGAAAATGCAGTTATATTTGGATGTGAAGAATATTGGTAAAAACATTTACGTTTGTTTTAACGTCCCCGTAAATTGCATCGCGCTTATCTGAAGCTGATTATTACCCTGAATTACAGAATGAAAGTTTGAATCGCCTGTAAGGTTTATCCTTCTCCTTCATATATTCTCACGAGCATAATATCAGACTACCCTTAGTGATGTACCCTGTGAAACGTTCTCGATGATAAGACCACTAAATGATTGGCCATTTCGACTATTCCCGGGAAAGGCGTAAGAAATAAGTATACAACCATTTGAAAATAAATAAATAAGTAAATAAACCATACCTTTATTCTATGTGTTATGTCTTGTTATAAATTTGCTCACTTTTCATTATTTAATTACTTCACTTGATTTTTTTTCGATTTTGTTTACTTAGTTAATTATTAACTTAATTTATTATTATTTTTATTCCTTTACATTTTATTTAATTATTCATTATTTATTGCTTTATATGTTCTTTTATTTGTTTATTTTTGTTCTAGTTTCTGACGCTGTTCTATAGATTTCGAGCACTTCTACCTTTAGAAATTAAACCCTACATTACAACTATAATTATTTATACTAGAATTGGCTGTAATATACAAGTGTACAGCTTTTCACATACGAGGGATGAAGAATAGATTTTCCGTAAAATAAGCAGATGAAGATATCTATAAAACTTTTTAAAGAAGAGATAATAAAGCAAAATTTATTAAATCGATTGATAAATTACTTTATATACAGTGGTGGCGAAAATTATGGACACTTTTGGAAATTTTTATGTTTTTCAGCTTTGTATGCTTATAGAAAACGTACGTTTCACAAAATGCAAACTTGTATATATCATTTTAAAGAGAATTTATTACTGAATTCAATACAAAACACAAAATTCAATTATTTGCAATACAAAAAAAGTTAAACGATAATAGTTATCGATATACATTAGATAGTGATGATTGCAGTGAGTTATCAGTACTTAGTAGAGTACCTTTATTTTTGATTACAGCTTTACATCGACGTTTCATTGAGCTGACAAGAGTTTTAAGCTCTTCTTTCGTTATTACATAAAGCCAAGAAACAATTATAGCCTCAGTTAGTTCCCTTTTATTTGATGGGCGCCTCATTCAGACAAGAGGTTTCAAACGGTGCCACAAATTTTCGATAGGATTTTGTAAAAATTTTTAATATTTAGTCAAGACGCAATGACATCAAATAAAAGAGTAGATGGGACACCTAGAAAGATATGTATTATTATTGTGTTACGAGAAAGTGGTCTTTCCTATGCTGAAATTGCAAGACAGGTGGGTGGTTCAGTGACTACATCTAGAGCCCGAAAGTTTTGTTTACGATATCAGGAGACAAATTCAATAAAACACAAAGAAGGAAAAGGCCGAAAAGGTGCACCACATCTATTGATGACAGAAGAATAAAAAGACAATGTCTCCAAGATAGAAAAATGAATACTAGAAAGACCGTCTGTCTTTCTAGTATATATGTTACGGTGAAACACCGAAATTTGGAGAATGTCGACTTTCACCGGTGAATGTCAACATTCTCATAGTCGCTTGGTGTATGTCCGAAATATTTTCCAAATACTCTTATTTCTGACTTACACCGGTAAATGTCGACATTCACCATGTACTAATGGTGAATGTTGAACATATAAGAATATCATATTTTCTTCTCCGTAATTCAGTCGCGAAAAACGCACTTGAGACTTAAAAATAAGAACTTAAGAAAAAAAAAAAAAAAAAAAAAAACAAAAAAAAAAAAAAAAAAAAAAAAAAAAAAAAAAAAAAAAAAAAAAAAAAAAAAAAAAAAAAAAAAAAAAAAAAAAAAAAAAAAAAAAAAAAAAAAAAAAAAAAAAATAAAAAAAAAAAAAAAAAAAAAAACATAAGGAGAAAGGAAAATAATAGAAGTTAAAACTTACTAAATTATGTGATTCAAATCTTATTTATTGCAACAACTTAAACTATTATGACACTTTGAATTGCACAAGAGACCCTTGCATTTACAACTGCATTTATTTGTGGAACACTTCCTTTTGCAATGACAGCATGTACATAACTCCTCTCTTTTCGACCTACACCAGAGCGTATCTGTAATTGTCGACATACACCGGTGAGGGTCCGAATGTACAAGAATTTAATTCACTATTCGATCTTTCACCGACGTATTTAGTGAATGTTGACATTCTCCGGTGAAAGTCGACATTCTCCAATTTCGGTCTTTCACGGTAACATATATATACCTCCATAAAACAACAGGCCTGCAAGTAAATTAGCAAGTCTGCTGATTTCACAAATAAATAAAATTTCATAAAACTGCTAACGTTAGGTAAGAATAGCTGAAGAAATATTCGTGCTAAGATGTAGGCACAATTGGGCATGGACATGTTTTATTGATTGGATTGACTTTATAAATTGCATTTTAAAATCATATAAACAACATGTAAAGATTCAATCAAAATGAACACTTACGAGTCACAAAAAGCCAGTACAAAAAGAAAATAAAAATAAAAGGTTTTTCCCCCAAATATAATGCGCATCGAAAAATATGAAATCAGTTTGCGGTATTATGAGGCTGTAATATGTCCAAGAAAATACGTGAAAAGCATGATTCTAATTCTAAGTGCGCATTTATGAATTTTCTGAACGCAGAGAAATTTCCTATTTTTCCGAAATTTCATGAAATATATTTAACACTAGCGAATTATTTGAATTGAATAGTCTCTTTTTTTCCCTCGTAAGATTGAAAATAAACTTGTACGTAAATTTATGCCATGTATAAATACAATATTCATAGCATGATAAACGGAATTTAAAAGATTGTGTCACTGATTTTGTCAATATCAGCATTAATTGTACCAGTACTCGACTTTATCAGAGTCAATAAGTAATGAAAGTCATTTATATACTAATTATACTTGGAAGTATGTAAGATTGCTATTGGTAACTGGAGCTAGAAGATTAAGTCCTGCAGATCCTATTAGACAAGAATCTTAACAACTCGCAAACTACTAACGAAGGTTTAAAAGAACTTTTTTTGTTTTTATCAAAAATTTAATATAAAAGCACAGTTTATACCACAGAAAAACCACCACTTGTGGTTACTGAAATTAAGCAATAAGAGACAAATTCAAATGCAGGTAACGTATAGTCTATAACTACACATTCAATAGAATAAGAAATAAATTGACTCTGTTATTTTACTGGGGCATAACTTTAAAGCATCGGCAGACGAGAAATGCCCGTGCCAGAATATCACTTTTAAATGGATCTGGCGAAAATTAACAGCAGACGAGAGTGCCAGATGCTCTCAAAACCCTCGGTTTAAATTCTAAAAGCTAACTTCTGTTCTGATGAGGAATGCGAAAGGAAGAAGGTATAGCAATGATAAAAATGGTAAATTAACATTAGATACGTTACAAATATATTATAGCATGATCTGCATAAACCAAACAAAATTTTATTATGACTTTAGAATATAAACTGCATGTAAATCTTAATTGAAAAAAATTTCTATTTAGACATTTAACTCGGTGAATATAAAATTTACTATGTTCATTTCATTACTTTACATGCTGTGCAATATTTATAAATTTATTACTTTGTAACTAGTATAGCCAACTTTCGAATACATGTAATTCTAACTTCCAAATTATTCTATTCATTAATATAATTTTAAAACAAAGTTATACTCAATTATACTCTTTATGCATATTCAGAATACTTGCCTGTGAATTATAGTTAAGAGTTCCTGTTGTAGAGGGGCTAGCTGAGTGAGAGTTTTCGTGGTATTCTACACATGACTACGATCTAGTTTCTGTTAAAAAGTCCTGCCTAAAAGTATTCTCCCTTAGGCAAGTACTCCTCACGTGCTTTGCCGGACTTTAAATAATTCAATCGAATCTAGAGTACGGATATCAAATGTGGATGGATAAAAAAGTATGGATATAGTACAGAATAATAACTATTTTTATTGCTAGATTCCTTTTAGACCGCCAGCGGCCGAGCGGTAAAGTCACTGAACATTGTTAGTTCGGTTCGAATAATGGGCTGGCTGCATGAGCGGTTTCGTGATTTTCTGCATGTGCAAAGTGTATACGAACCAGTTTCTCCTAGAAAGTTCTGTACGAAGGCATCTCTCCCCATAGGCAAATAGTCTTCGAGGCTTTGCCATAATTATATAAACCAAAATAAACTTTCCTTTTTATTATAAAAAAGAAAATGATTCGGAATAATAGTTGTAAAAATTATTGATGCTTATATTTTAACATTCTGTAATTTTTTCCTTTAATATTTCTGATTTTTAGAGTACTTCTTGTTTTTGTTTAAGGAAAGGTAACACTGAAAGGTAGCACTGAAAAATAGTTTTATTACTAACACATTTATAAGACGTCAAGAAGCTATGTAACATATACGCTGCAACACCGATGGCTGAGATATCAACTTTTTTTTCATTTTTTCAAAAGCTTTCTTTATTTGAAAATGATCGAGGTTTGACGTGCAGTTGAGGATAATGCAACAATATTCTGGTGCTAATAAACACGGTACGATATGCTTAAAATTTTTCATGTCTGATAAAAACAATATTTTAATTAGAGACTGCATAATTGTGAATAATTTATTTTCCTATTGCCTATTTTATTTCCTTTTTTATCATTGTATTTTAATTTACTCTGCAATAGCACTTTAATACATTACTTCTTTTAGTATTAGATGCAACGCCTGCAAGTGAGTTAAGAAGATTGAGGTCGGATTTGCTGAAGAATTATGATAAGATTACACTTCCTGTTTTAAACCAGTCTCTTCCTATTACCGTCAAACTGTTGTTCGATATTCAGTATATTGTTTCATTGGTAAGTCAATCACATATCTGGTTAAAATGTTAGGTTTCAAAAATATAATCATGAATAGCAATAGAAAAGTGTGTATATATTACTTAACGTTTAATATAATATATATATATATATATATATATATGATATAAAAACACACATTATTAAGTTTAATTTTTAACTTCATTTAACTTTTAGAAATTATTTTTTAATTTCAGAGCTAACTGCTTTTCACTTTCTGTCACCTTATTCATGATTAATTGCTTCTTTCTCTTTCTACCATGTAATAAATTTTATTACATAATTTGTATATATCTTCATACTACAGGTACGAAATTTCACTTAATTACCATCAAATAATTTCGCAACCAGTAAAATAGACCAAGATCGATGCTGAAATTTTCTGCGGAGTAAATTTTAAAAATCGTAAAACATGAATAGGAAAATTAAACTTATAGATTTTTCACTGTTTTCTCTAATTTCTCTTTTTTAAGTTTACTTTATGAAAATCGCGCAGCAACGTTTATTTAATAATATGCCATCTTTTGTAAATCATTTGTCCAAAATAGGTCAAGTATTTTGCTCCTTATACGAACAACACGTGTTTGCATTAAATACTTCAAATTAAAAATCATAGTTTCTCCAATTGCTTAGATTGAAATATGAAACTGAAATCTTCTTATTATACCAAAATGTCTACTAGTCTCGAAACACGACTTTGCCTTGATTCATTTTAAATGTCCTCTTTGTGTTGTTTCACTTTTCATTCATCTGTTGCCACTCGGAAAAATGTAAAATATTTGTATTTGAAATTTAATCTGTCTGTTATTGATTAATAAACTAAACTATTCAAAAACAATAGATGAAGTTCTGAAGAAAATTATTTGTTTATTTTTTAATCTGGTTGATTTAAGTGAAAATGTATTTAATTAAGGAATATCGAAATAAAAACTTGAATAAATGTTTTTATGGAATTACGTCACATATTTTTACTTCTTTGTAAGAAGTAAAGGAAGTATTGTAATCACGAAAAATTCGGGTATCATACTTCATCGAAAATATTCATTTTGACCGTTCTTGAATCCATTTGAGCGGCGTTTTTGCGGGACATCTGTACGTACGAACATAATAAATATCTTCTTCCGAAAACGGATTGTAAAATGGATTCAGAAGAAATTTTTTTTTTCGTGATGGTAAACGTATGTATGTATGTCTCTCGCATAACTCAAAAACCAGTAGCCTCAGAACGTTGAAATTTGTACTTGGGTGTATATATATATATAAAGAGAGGGTGTATATACACCATACACCCTCTCTTTTTGATTGCAATCGGTGGCATCAAAAGTGTATATACCTATATACATATTTCACTCTGTTACCGGTCTCGGTGAGCTCAGTATTATTATTGTTATGTATTAGTAAAGTGTCCATTTTTTACTTTAAAAGTTATTGGATTATGTTGTCCTTATGCTCCAATTAAGGATTTTATGCTTTAATTAATATGCATGCAATATTTGTAGAATTATCCACAATTTAAAAGTTGTTTAAGTATTAAACCGCCGTTTATTTACATTTGAAACTCTTTAGTAGAACAGTGAATTAAGTCAGTTTCTGTACCTTAAGTATTTTTTTGCCCAGGGACCAAAAGTAAACTTTCAGTTTTGTGCATCGAAAAATCTGCCTTCTTGCCCTCTGGCCGAATTGCTTGTTTTTGCGTAGAAACTCTAATTTTAATTGTAATAATCACTTGAAAAGAATATAATCTAATTTATATAGATCAAATAAAAAATTACTCTAGTCTAAGAATTAATAGTCGCACATAAAAAAATTAAAAAATTCCCATACTGAAAATAATAATGAAAGCAACAAACTGCCATTCTGGAACATTTTCAGTACCATAATTTTGAAAATATTGAAATAACTATTTTGGATATTATTTGTGATTCAAAATTAAGGCTCTTTAGAGAATCGATTTGCATTCTGCAGAGCAGATCACTTTACCCTTATGGGCTCAACTCGTAACTTAACAAAACGGCTAACAGCTACAAATAAGAGTCCATATACGAACAATTTAGATTATTTAGTAAAAAAAAGTACATGAGGAAAAGGATTATTCTTTCACGAAGAAAGTTGAAAATATAGTAAAAAGGTTAATAAATTCTTTAATGAAAGGTCTTTCACCAAAAATATTATAAAGTTGCCCCACACATTCAAAAGCAATACGTTATGAAAAATTCTAAACTTTTTTAAGGAAAACTACACAGGATACCAGATTATTAAAGATATAGTACTCGACTTTTGCAGTTATAAATTGCGTAAAAGTAGTTTTCTCCAAAATGAGATTTTTTGTACTATTCATTTCAAGCACCCATTCTATGATAGAATCACCATTAATCAGATTTTTAACAACTATCAAAATCTACTGCTTGCTAAGCACTTCAAAGTAACCACTTGCTACAAATTTATGAAAACTATTGGAATTGTAATCACCAACCACCACGAAGTAAACAATAAAAATTTCTGAGACTGCAAACTACCAGAAAGCAGTATTCATTTGGATCAGAGCTAAATATGCTTACAATAAAGTAATTATTTTTGAATTATTGTTTAATTATGTTAAGTGTCATGTACTAAATGTATTTAATACATTAAAGGTCATAAATTACACAAATAAAAAACTTCAGTCGCTAAACAGTGACATTAGTTTTGCAAAATACACTCTTAAAAATGTAGCAAAAAACCGGTAATTAAGGATTAGTATTTAAGGAAATAAAATCAGTAACCACCCTTTTTCAAACTCTGTGCATGAATTCTTTAATTGAACTTCTTGTGATTTGTTTGCTTTCTTCCAGGATGAAAAGTACCAGATTTTGACAGTGAAAGGAATACTGATGCTGGTATGCGTAATAATATACTTTCATAAATTTATAATATTTATGACAGCAAGTACACCTGTTATAATTTTATTTATAACGAAGTAAGAACCGTTTTCGAACGGACTTTGAAACTGGGGCATTTTTTGTTTAGAAATGGATAGATGAACATCTGAAGTGGGATTCTGGAAGTTATAGTGGTATTTCAGCTGTTCGGTTTTCACCTCAAGAAGTCTGGCTGCCTGATATCCATTCCTTATACAAGTAACCCCTCTTTCAAACATTCATTTTTGAAATTATCAGGATGTCATTGAAATGAACTTGATGCCAAGGATTTGTAAAATTATGAAACTGAATTATGCGTATTTTTGCTCATGAATCTGAAATTAACAAAGTTTAGAAGCTCTATAGAAAAAAAAAATCGATAATATTAATCAAGTTATTTGTTAATGCACATTAAAATCTTTATCGAAACCGATACGGTCTCACGATTCCTTTTTCTGATTGGCAGAGGCAAAAATGTATTTTTTTTTTACTCAATACTAAGAGTGAGGAACATGCATCAGCCTGAAATGCCTCATTCCATGCTTTTGCGAAGCGATACTTAAAATAGTTACATAAAAGAGATTGTGTCGTAACTGCTTGGATTTAACTTTTGCAGCATAAACTTTCGGCATAATTTTTAAATAATTTCCCTGATAAATAAATAGATAAATAGCGAGAAGTAAGTTTCTGAATTGCTGTTTCGGAATAAAAATTACCTAATCTTGTTAAGCAACACAACAGCTAGTACAAAATCCTATAACTCGAGAAGTATATTTGGTTTTGATGTATTTGATTCAAATGTATCTATTAATAGGTACAATTAAACCAAATACACAAGTTTTATTCTCCTGTAGTGGTGTTCTAGAGAATGAAATTTATATACAATGAAATGCAAGTATAATGGTGCTTTGCTTAATAAACCCTTCGCATAACAAACATCCAAAAAAATAAACGCAAGCACGGACAGAAATATGCATTATGCTGAATCTCGCATAATGTATATTTCTGTAACATACTCATAACATACTCAGTCTTGGATTACAAACCATACACAAATATCGATAAATATTATCAACACCTTTAACGCAGCGGCATTAATACTAAAAGCATGCCTTAACTGTCAACTGAAAGAGCAGTCTAATAGTAGTCTTTTTCAACCGAAGTGCTCCAGAATTCTACTACTCCAAGAAAAATCAGTGGAAGTTTCTTAAGAAATAGAGACAAAATTATTTATCACAAATAAGTATACAGCTGATCATACGTAATTTATGTCGAAGACACTGACAAAGAGTTGTGCAAGGTTAACAGTTTCATAAACGATGTCTAACACCTAATCGAACACTTCACTGTTTAACTGGCTACAGATAATAATAAATGAAACTGACTTGCAGATTTCTCTTCAGATACTCACGGAAAGTTCTGGAATAGTTGTAAAGGCAGATTAGGGTATTTTAAGAGAATTTAACAGAATTTTCCTTCTCACAGCTTTGTTTTAAGTCACCCACCACTCCTTGTGTAGAATTCTGACCTACTCACTGCTCTTTTCGATACCAGTAAATCATTCTTTGGATCGAGTTGGAGCAAAATAGCAGAGTATAATAAAAATTAATTTTTGTTAATACAATTTCACAAATAAAGAAATAGATAAAAGTAGAAAAAAAATAATAAAGAAACCATGACTGGACGTAACGGGAATAAAAGGTATCTTTTGCCAATGCTTTTCCTTGATGTACATGTCTCCGTTTAATTCAGTATTTTATGTTTTTAATTTAATGTAAATTTTACGTTATGGGCTGTTGACGTACTGAATATTTCTAATAGTATAAAGATTAAGGATCTCCGAACTTTAGCATACCTACATATTGGAATGAGAATCTAAATTCTCATTTCGCAATGAATGAAATATATACAAAGTTTCGCAGTAAAATGAAATATATACATACATCTATGTGTGTGTAAGAAAATGGTCATTCATGATGGCGATTCGCATTGCATCGTAAAACTTAATAATTCATTTAGCATTATTTGCGTCGGAAAAATGTATATTAAGACAATAACAACTAAAATGAATGAAGAATGATATAAAATATCATACACAGATGCAAATTTAGAATACTGTTATATACACTGGTGTGCAAAAATTAAGGATGAGACTGTTTTTTCAATATAACTTTGTACAAAAGCTTTCCAAATCAACACATTTAATACCGTGAGATCCCCAATACGTAAGGAGTTGTTGAGGCATTGCTGCCCATTCGTCTTGCAGCGCCAATCGAAGCTCCGGAATCGTTACTGGTGGTAAGGTACAAGCTGCCAAGCGTCTGCCTAGAAAATCCCATACATGCTCGATGGGATTGAGATCCGGAGATCGTGCCGGCCAATCCATACGTTCAATATCCTCACTCTATAGAGCTGTTCAGCAGCTACTGTGCGATGACATGGTGCATTGTCGTCCATGAAAAGGAACTGCGGACCCATAGCGCCTCTAAAAAGACGCACATATGGAAGAAGAATCTCATTACAATAACGGGTCCCGTTGACTGAACCTGCGTCGAAGATGTGAAGGTCTGTACGACTATCAAGCATGATGCCTCCCCAAACGAGAACACCGCCACCTCCATACCTGTCCCTTTCAATGATGTTCCAGGGATGATTGCGGCTTCCCCGCTCTCTCCAGATGAGTATGCGATGAGAATCGCTACTCAGACTGAATCTGCTCTCATCTGTAAAGAGTACTTGTTCCCATTCATTGTCTCTCCAATTCTGGTGTTCCCGGCACCACAGAGAACGCCTTCTCCGATGGGCAGGCGTTAGAGATACACACCGTACACGGCGTCGTGCAAACAGACCACCACCGTGCAGTCTTCTGGCCACGGTAAAACGCGATATCGGTCGTCCAGTCGCCTGTGTCGTGTGTCTAGCAATTTCTCCTGCTGTCTGCCGCCTGTTTCTTCTGGCCTGTAAGGCAATATACCGGTCATCTGCGGGTGTGGTTCCTCGTGGACGACCACTACTAAGCCCCCGGATAGCTGTTCCTGTAGTTTGAAATTGTCTCCAAAGTCGTGAAACGTTGCTGTGAGCAATTCCGAACTCTTCAGCCACACTTGTCACACTGCGGCCTTCCTCCAACTTCCCAATGATTCGACTTCGGGTAAAAGCATCCAGATGTCGTGTAACAGATTGATTATTCGCATTCTTGCTGAGGCAGCAACCGGTGTGATTTTAACTGCTATACGGCGTGCAATCTCTTTGCCAGAAATACTGATCTACACCGACAACATGCTTTATACTACTCAGACACTCCCCCATTACGTCTACCTGCATATCTGCACATGTGCTACCGTACATCACCTTACTTAATCTCCTGATTGGTCTTTCTGTCGGCTTTGCCTCTTCGTTCAGCTGATGTGCTAATTTTTCGACTTGATTTTTGCCCACCAGTGTAGTTTCTTTACATCCAGCACTCTTAAACAAAGTAGTAATTCAGTTTACATTTAAACTAAAATATTAATTGCTTATAAATTGAGGCAAACGTCTCTGATTAACAAGAAAATTTTCATATGCAATCGAATTCGGTTATAACGAACTTCAAGACACCGGATGTTTGGTTCGCTATATCCTATCAATTATGAAAAATGGCTTATATCACAAACACGTGTAAAAACTGAATGATGAATACCGAAACAAATTGTTTAACATTGTTATGTCAACCAAAAGAAATAAACAATAAATCTAATTTTAAACAAATCATATTAAGTTTTAAATACACTTTTGTTAAATTTCATGTTCATTTCTTTTTCCAGTCTCACCTGATTAAACTAGCAAATTGCTTCCACTCTCTCCTGATAAAGTGTCTGACAAACGCGTTAGTCTTTGTTTGCAGCATTTGTCCAGATACTTTTTAGATTACTGTTTTTCTGAATGACAAATCATTTCAGCAGTTCTTTTTCAACTCCCTTTGCTCCATGTTTCTCGACAATTTTCTCGTAACCAAACTTTTCCAATGAGCAGAAATTGCATAACTTTGATCTTTTTCATATACTACAACTGTATATTTGGATAAAGTGTATTTCTAGATGGCATCGATTTGTTTGCATCCATTTTGTATTTCTTAAATAATGCTCATCTTATCTTCGATACGGAAGTTTTACTTTTGAAACTCTCTGTGTGGAGGAATTTTTGACCCAGAAACAGAGTAGTTCAACAGATTTAGTGATAGCGAACCTCTCTAAGAAGAATAGTTAACGATTTTGTAATAATAGGTATTTGTGAGTTCTAAATTCAATATTCACAAAATTCACGCAAAATCACTCAAAATTCGAGCTACTATTATGAAAATCGATAAGTCTGATTACCGAAATTAATCTAATGATTACAAACGTAATGACAGGGGAAGTATCTAAATTATTACTCACACTTTTCCAGACATAACACTAGAAATAAAAAGTTATTTCATGATTAAAAATTTATGTTACATTAATTTGTCCCCTTTTTTTTATAAAAAAGCTATTTAAAAAACATTTTAACATACTGTAGTCGAATATTTGAATAAGCGCTGCCTGACATTGTGTGATATCTAAAGATTTTGCATTATAGATTGAATTCTTTCATCATTTTTAAATGCTGTTTATTCTTCTTTTTCCGTCTAAATTTATTTAACAACGAAGAATAAAAAGTGCATTTTGTATAGTTATCTTTGTTAGCTTCATGTTTAAAAAATTTTATGAAATGTAGAGTTTTAAGATAGATTTTTTGACAAGGTAATTTAACCTGTGATGCCAGCCTTCTGGAGTATTTTTAATGCATATTTTTAATTGCAATTTCACATCTCTGTTGTTACGAAGTCATTTTCAAGATGAGCCCACCAGCGGCCGAGCGGTAAAGTCGCTGAACACTGGTAGTTCGGTCCGAGGTTCGAATCCCGCGAACGGGCTGACTGCATGGGGTTTTCCCCATGTGTAACGTGTATACGAGCCAGTTTCCCTTAGAAAGTCCTCCACGAAAGGCATCCCTCCCCTTAGGCAGATAGCCCTAGTGTGCTTTGCCATAATTAAATACACCACACCACCATTTTCAAGATGCTGAAAAATAAAGTAATCAAACAATTTTTCTGATCTTGCGTCACATAGTGAATTTTGTTGAATAAAAAGGCCAACCACCATTGGCATATTTTATGAATACGTGTGCAAAGAACTGGCACATTCTGACATGAGTTCTAATTTCTTCATTTTGAATATACTTGTTAACAAGTCCGAAGTTTTGTGTCTTTTTTCAAAGACATTAATGTAAGAGGAAAATGAAACTTTTTATTTCTAAAGAAGGAAAAGTTTAAAGCGTAATAATATAGGCAACTTCAAAATCCATTAGATAATAATGTAATTTTTAACTGAGCAAAATAATCTCTCACAAGTCTGCTTTCGTTTATCGAAAAGTAAGAAAAACAACCCTGGAACAACATCTCTCTCATTCATGGCACTACCCGTATGAACATAGGCAGTATACATTTAAGGAAAATGCTCTGAACTACTTTTAAAAGTTCCATCCATCCATCCATAAAGAACGTTTGGCCGCTTTTCATTGCTGCCCTTCCCTCCGTATTCGAAAAACAGCCAAAATTCGGTTATCTTTTAAATCATCAAATAACAAAAATATAAGAATAATATTCATTATTATCATATATAATAATTCGTTTGGAATTTATAAATCTTCCGTACAAGTAGCTTCATGAGCATATTTTTCGAGATCTTACTTAACTGCATTTTGAAAATTGTTGAATATTAATTAATATGTAAAAACCTTGATTGCATAGTTTTCTTTATTGTTTGTTCACTATTAATTTGGGAAACTTGAATATTTTATACTTATGCTCTTGCTTTGCTACAAGTATTTGAATTTTTCTAAAGGATTTGCTGTGTCAGGTTGACGTGAACGAAAATTACTTCTAAAATGATTTCATCTTTACGAATGCAATAAACTACATTTTCCTTATGTCGAATTCGATATTGATAGCCTTTATAAAAGCTAATAGTTGCTTTCCGTAGTCACAGTAATGTCTAAAACAACCATATTAATTAAGACAAGAAATCAAAACACCAGCTAATATTGTAAAGAAATTACAAATAGATTGAAACTACAGATTTCGAGAAAGAGACGAAGCTCAGATACATCTTCAACCTAAAAATTAAGTTTGTAGAGTTCAGCAGAATCACTTTTGTGTGAAAACTGGAATAGTAGTAACTGCACAAGAGAAGGGTTAAAAGTACCCTTTATTAACTCTTTAAAATTTACAATGCGTCAACTCGACGCCAACAAACTACGCCTCTGCTTGAGCGGTAACTAAAATCAGATTACGAAACTAAAAATTTGAAGATATGAACAAGTGATAGAACTAAACCACGGGGCTCAGCTAGATCCCGTTTTTTAAACTTCCGTCGAATTAGTGGCAAAAAGTAAATGCAATTAAACCACTTGAACCAGCAATAAGCAAATATTTAAACAGCAGAGGTGTCGACTGTAGCCTAACTCTCCTCTTTTCTACCGAAACTCGGGTTTTAAACTCTTTTTTCAAAGTGAAATTTTTCATTCCTTCAGGCGCGCTACGAAATTAAAATATTGTGTCACTGACAATTATGGGAATGAAGGCTTATAAGAAAGAATAACAAATTAGATAAAACTGGTTATTTAAAATAAATATAAATCCCTAAAAATGTTCACAAAGAAACAGTCCAACCCTTTTTAATGATTAATCTTGATATCTCTCAGGAAGTACTGTATAAGTTGTGAGAGGGCGGAAGCAGGACAAATTTTCAAAACTCCGAAAACAAGACATATTCCCTTGTGGTAAGGACTTTTCGGATTCTACTGTCAATTTAGCAAATTATCATTTATTAACTTTGTAGAGACATTAGGTATTTTTTGGAAGCATACAACATGAAAAATAACTGCGGACCTCTCAATTACGCGCTGAGCGTGCAGACCACTACACCACGAAGGCTCGCTAAGAAGGCGGGAGAAATACCTTATAACCTTACTAAGAACTGTTCCTTTTTTGTTTTTGCAGTGTTAAATCGGTAGATATATTTGACAAAGATCATGGGGCGCCAGTACTGGTGTACTCTAACGGGTCTGTTAAGTGGTATCCTCCAGCTGTGTTTGATGTACCTTGCAGCACTCAGTTCAAACATTATCCTTTCGATCGCCATAACTGTACAATCGTTTTTGGATCCTGGTCCCACTTGGGAGATGCCATCGTCTTAGAAACAATTGAGTAAGTTTCTATGTTAAAAGTGTCTATCTTCTGTCTTCGTAAATAGTCTTCATTCATTTGAAGTACTAAACTATTTATTGTAACTGCAAACGTGAAAATTTTCAGAGTTTCCATCTCTAAATCTTCATATGTTTATTCGAATTTTGTTCATAAGAAAATAAATTAATACTTCGTGTCGTCAGTTTGTGTTAAATGTGGTATTCCTGCTGTTTTTTTAAAGTCATTTATTTATTCAAAAATTCCAAATATTAAAAAATAGGTATTTTCTGCTATATTTCAAGGAGAATATATACAAACAAGCAAGGATTTTTATTCTAGGGCAGATTTAGTTAAGAACTCAATCGATTTCGAGGGCAAATAGGTGCAGGTTCCTCTTCATCAGGAGAAAAAGTGCAAGACTGGAAAGTGACGATCGTATTTATACCCTAGAGCAGTAAGGAGAACGTGCAGATAGCTTTATCTTTCCCCAGAAATAGTAACGAAAGTAGCAGAATTAAGTCAGTCAAATTTTAAGAGTTATGAAGGACTGGATTAGACTCTTTGCTCTTGATGAAGAGGGACCTGGACCTGTTTGCCCTCGAAATCGACTGAATTCTTGAATAAAGGATTGGAATTCTTGCTAAATACAAGTTATGTCTTTGTTAACTTTATATTTCACATTGGTGTGTTTCTCTTCTGTTTAGAATATATATATGTAATAATAAAATTCCATAATCAAGAATACACTTGAAATTCTAACTGAATGTTCTTTTTATTTTTTAATGGCGACGTTCTCTTATTTGAAAATACGTGGAATTAAATTCACAGCCCCGTAGTCAAGTTGTTTTTCCCGCCTTTTCTACACATACAGTTTTAGAATGTTCTGGAGATATTTAAAGCGAACTGGATTGGCTGACAAGGCTGACGTCATTTCTTGGAAGCTCCGCCTTTCCAGAGGCTATAAAAAGACTCGCAAAAAGAATATCGGGGCTGTTTCTTAAATGTCACGATGCAATAAACTTCATACAAAAAGTTATTAGTAATTCTTTTTATTTACTCCGGATATCTGATTTTTGTAACTGCTATTTCTCCTGAATAATAATAAATGGATCCTGTTTTTTAAACTTATCGTCTGATTATTTAAGCTACGACTAAAGCTGATACATCACATATATATAAACAATTAGAATAATAGGACGGTTTTTTTTTTCTTCTTAATGCCCTTTAATGATATTCTTTTGTGATTTTCTAATGTTTTTAATTTGGCATACACCTGGTATGCCAAACGAATTTTCATGTAAGTAATTTGTAAGTTTTCACAGTCTGCAATCCCTGAATATGATCTCCGATTTTGATATAAAATATCTCCGTTAATTTTTCCACATGGAATTCACACTTTTTCTGCTTTTTTTTTATAACGACTACATATCTACATATCTTTCCTAAATATAAGTATAGAAGTGGCACTGTCTAAGCTCTTAGAAATCGAAAAAAAAGGGGGGTCAATTTCGTAATTTTTACAAAAATGATTTTTTATAAATTTAAAAATGCACAACATGAATGTTTATATCATTTAAAATTTTTTGTTATTGGAAGTATATGTCAACGGCAAACATTTTCGAAAATAAAACACCTGGTAAGGACGTAAAGCCGCGTTCAGACGGGGCGTAAAGGACATAAGTGTTTAAAGCCGAGCTCCTTTGCCAAGGCAACCAGTCTGTGCTACGTCACAAAAGCTGGTTTAAACTTTGAACCCTATGCCACGAGCCCTAAACCAGGCTTTTGTTGGGATAAGCGTCGATAAGCGTCGACCAGCAGAATTTGGGATAGGCGTCGACCAATCAGAGCGAAGCTAAAACGAAGCGGCGTTCTACAGAAGATTTCGCTGTCACAAAACAAGCAGAGCGAACGCGGGAAATCAATCGAGCAAGAGAACAGCGCGGGAAAGTTGTAGACACATCCACGCATGCGCAAATTTAGCTTCTCTCATTGGCCACGGCTTACACACCGTTCTCGCAAGTGTGAACGGAATTCCCATATTTTATGCCCTTAAGACTACGCCTCTATGCCCTTTACGCCGCCGTCTGAACACAGCCTTAGTGGACAAGATGTAGTACTGGACAACTCGCTCCCTCATTTAGTCTTATGTTTCTAGAAATAAAATAAGGCTAAGTATATTCAAAGCCTAAAGTTTAGTAAAATCAAATAAAATTATGTTTTTGTGTTAACAGAGTAATGAACGAAAGGTATCTTTGAAAATCCTTGCGAGAAATTTAAGTTTCTTTCAAGCATACTGGGGAAAGTAAGTCTGCCAGTGAGATCATCTAAAACTCAGCATTTTCATACTGAACTCTTACTCTCTCAGTATGCTTCCAAAAACTCCTTAAAGGAATTCAAACTAACCGGTATGACAACCTATAAATTGTACTTATCTTTAATTCGATTTCCTGATTATATCTCTTACCGTATAGTTTAGCAAGAATGTTAAAAAACGAAATGCTTTTTGCAGAAATATTTATTTCTAGATGCGAAACATAAAAAATGATTAACTCTTAATTAATGTTCTTTTTATATTTTTAGATTGCCACTAGCGCCATCAAATGAAGCACAGAGCAGTGAATGGGTTTTAACAAATGTGACGCATGAAAATTTTATATATACTATGCAGAAGGAATACTACAAATACCATGTTGTTAACGTACATGTTTATCTACAAAGAACTTCACGAATTTATCGATATATATGTGTGGTACCGTCTCTGATTGCACTCTTTTCCACACTCTTTGGTAAGTCATTATTACTAGTTTAGTATATTATAACGCACACGAGCTCGTGTTTAATTATTGGGTTAACTTTAACGAGGGTATAGATTAGATTTACTAAAAAGAATAATTTCTAAAATGCAGTTAAATTATTCTCAGTTGACACTGATTACGAAGTCCTAAGAGGACAATTATGTTTAAACTATATTTTCATCTAAAACACAATAAATAAAAATGCAAAAATAAAATATAACTGTAAAATATATTCATGCATCTATAAAATATGTTCTTAGAATTAAATGATTGAAAGCTATTATAAATATAAAAATGCAATGTACAAATATCTAATTGTATATGATTTCTTGTTGAGTTTTATGTTTATTAGTCAATTATGTTTTCATTTTGTGTTTACTATCATTTCTAATTCATCGCCTCACACCAAGAAGCAAATTAGTTAATGCATTTACATACAGCGCCTTTGAATTCGAGGGAGAGAGAGAGAACTTAGCATTGGGAATTCGCCTTAAACTAGAAAACGCATTGCAGTCGGAATTCCTCTAAACCCAGTTTTGTTTAATTTATTTGTCAACGATCTGCTAGATACTCTGACTCGTGGCTTATTTTCCTACACAGTCTTCCACTGCAGTCTTTTGTAACGTCCAGGCGGCAAATAGTGGCTAATGACGTAAATTACTGAGTTGGCTTCCGACCCACTTATATAAAAGAACACTGCATGATTGGAAAGCAAACTCAACAGGAGCTTCCACTATCAGCCAGCCACAGCCGATGGGCCTGGTCGGCAACTCAGATGACATTTATTGAATCATAAGTAAAATTACAGAATCATAATCTCATGCACATCAAAATTGTTATAAAGCTAATTCTCCTACACACATCGAAGTGAGTGTACGTGGTACATAAGGTGCAGTACATTTCGTTACAAAATACAAAATGTTACGCTGGTAAAGTCAGCAAACTAAAATTTTATTTACCAGTTTACATGCTAAAAGTACAGTAGACTCCTGATTATCCGCGCCTGCCGCACAAAGTTTTTTTTTTTTTTTTTTTTTTTTTTTTTTTTTTACAAGCGTAAAGCAAAGAAAATAAAAATATTCACAAAACTGAGCGAAACGTTAAATTTGCTAACATCGGGCTTATTTATAGCAAAAATATCCCAGGCCTTTTCGGAACCTTCCCCTCGACCCCTCTGATGAGTAAGTGATTTCTTACTCACCCTTGGAGTGCCCGCTCCACCGACCTTTCTCGTCTTAATCTCACTGACACGTCCACTTCCTCCCACTCGTCATTGTTAGTTTAAGCCTAATAGTGTTTGTGAACCAGTCCGAGTTAATTTATTATCTTTTTATTGTATTCAGTGCTTGTGCTTTTTGGTTTTGTGTTTTTGTTACCTATTTAAAATGTCAGGAAAACGAAAGAAGGTTGTGTTGACGATTGCGCAAAAACTAGAATTAATTTCCAAAGTAGCAAACAGCGCTACAAGGCAGCGGATAGAATTGGATTACGGAATCGCGGAAACAACAGTGCGTGACATTCTAAAGCAAAAAGACAAACTGGTGAACTTTGTCGGACAGTGTTTCCGCAATGAAAGCGCGAAAAACTGTGAAAGGTTCTACCTTTGATGAGCTAGACACGGCATTGACAGAAATGGTTAGCTCAAGGGTTTGAAAAGAAGGGTACTCCTGTAAATGGTCCTTATCATTGCGACGAAGGCAAAAACCTCTTTTGAGTTGTTAGGCCTGAAAGTAAATTTTGATGCGTCTTCTGGCTGGTTGACTTCGTTTTAAGCCAGCGACATGGAAATTCGAGATATTGGACTTCATGGGGAGAAACTTTAGTGGTGACCAAACAAGCAGCCGACTATTTCCACCATGAATTTGAAGAATTTGTTTTAAGAAAAGAGCCATCTTTTAAAGAAATTTACGAATGCCGACGAATTGGGACTTTTGTGGAAATGTCTTCCCACTCGCACTTTAGCATTTTAAAATGAAAGTAAAGCGGCGGGTCATAAAAGCAGCAAGCAAAGGATCACTATCATGTCTTGTAATAACGCTACCGGTGGACATAAACTTAGACATGTTGTCATTGGAAAGTCAAAAAAACCGAGATCTTTCAAAGGCACAAGGATAGAAAATTTGCCGGTTGACTACTTTAACCAAAAAAAAAAAAAAAAAAAAGGATGGATGAACCGAAACATTTTTCAAGAATGGTTCAAAAACATCTTTTTTCTTCAAGTGTGTAAACATATTAACTCGAAAAACTTGCCTAAAAAAGCTGCGCTATTGATTAAGCGTTAATTAAACATTTTCTGTTGTTTATTTTACGTTTTATTGTATATAAAACGATTTTTCAAAGCTGGAATTTCAATTCCGCGGATAATCGGGAGTGTACTGTATGGCTTAAGACTGATAATGTGTGGGTAATTCTGCTTTAAAGGTAACGTGCGATAGGTCGAAAATTGCACCATAGTGCATACAGTCGAAAGTTAAGAGAAAATACCTTCAGTAGTACAACATTTCTTATTCCGAAACATTACGAAAATTCCTGTTTATACAGTATCATATTACAGACAATTAGATTCGCATTCCATATTGTTGTCCTTCTGAAATATAATCAAAGCGTGTTTAGGTTCTCTAGAGGTACTTCTGCATTTCATTATTAGTTAATCAACAAATTAATAATGGAAGAAAAAAAAGATGTATTCAGATTAGTGAGTAGTAATTGCGAATGATACTACTATTGTGCCTGCGTAATGTACTTGCATGCAATATCATAAATAGACAATAAAATAGATACAATAAAATGCAATAAAAACATACAATGAATATAAAAAATACATACTTTCAAATTATTAGCAATACAATGCTTATATACAAATATTAAAACAATTCATAGTGCCAAACTATTTACAGTGCAAATACACACATATAATCTCTTAATCTTTATAATGGAAGTAATGTCCTTCCTATTTCCGAGGACGTTCAAAAACGCGGAGATTGAGATGATACGTAATTACATTTAAGAGAGCACCGTACTTCAGTTACTACACAAATTCTAACATTATAAAGATACATTGTACCAGACATTGTGATGAAATCGTCATTCTGCCAGTATGACGTGCTTGCAAGCAATTAAATGCTTTCTTGCAAATGCAATAATAAAATTTATATTTGCATACAGTAAAATATAATATTTTATACTACTGCTATAATTTACATAATTTACAGAAAACATAATATTTTATGCAACTACTATAATTAATTTACATAATTTACAAATGTTACTACCCAAATGTATGACATAGCACCAGTATAAATATTGCAGGCACTAAGTAGTTAAACCGGTTTGAAATTTTTCAGATTCAAATACTTAGTACAAATCTGTGACTATCATAAATTGCAATGTTAAAATTACTGCGTTACTCATTCAATGTATGCCATGGCAACATTTATTCTTTATAGTGTTTTGCTATACTCTGCCATGATTATATTTTCTCTTTATAGTGTCAGACCTAAAAGAATCACTCACTAAAAGTTATTAGCCTCACTTAAATTAACATAAGCTATGCTTAATATGCAGAATAATTTCATTACTAGCTCGCAGCGTACTTTCCTACACAGTTTTCCACTATAGTCTTCAATTTCATTTGTGCAAGCTTGTTTTGTTTTAAATTTTGGAACCACTGAACCCAAAAGTTATTGCTAGCCTGTCCTAAGTTGTTTCTAATCTCTGCAGATAGGAGAATACTAGGTGATCTAGGTGGCCATCTTCCCCACGCTCGCAGTTTCCGTTCACTCTGAGTTCAAACTTGCTGAGGCAGGATAGGAAGGGCCCATGGTCTGTAAGATAATACGTACAGTTATTACTCCCTGTACGGTCTTCTAACAAGACTTTCAGAATCAGTCTACACACTTGCAACCCTGCTGTATCCTCATCCAATTCAGCTTGCATCTTGTCCGTTAGTTGTTGTAGGCTTTGCCTTTTTAAGTATATCACAGTATTGACAGTAGCTTAGATTTTTGATATTTGCTGCATTTTTGGCAGCCAGATCCGCTCATTCATCTAGATATTATGCTCGCATGGAGAGGTAATCATGCGAGTAAAGGCCAGCAAACTTCCGGAAATTGTAACATTATATTTTGGGTGCTCCTCACTATAGGGCTGTGAGAGTTCTGCCCCACTACTGCAGACAGAATGAAAGCTGAGTGATTAAAAATTTTGTTCCTGGGACTGCTGGACTTTTTCTTAGACAATACAGTGTTATTTTGATAGTGAGTAATTCCAACTAGTAAACGGAATTATTGAATCTTAGTTTCTTTTTCCATTCATATTTAAGACTGCATTGTAATGCAGCAATACCCTCACTTTCTGGGATATTTGAGTAATCTGTATTAAAGCACCATTCATGTCCGTAAGCTCCTGTGTCCCACTAAGGAGTGTAAACTCAGCCATATTGTTACATTCTGAATGACAAAATTCAGCAATCTATGTTGTTCATAATCCATGTGGATGTAGGCATGTATATCCCTATTGGGTGGCCGTGCGTTGTAATCTCCTAACATGTGCAATAACAACCTTTCTTTCATCTACGATGTCGAGTAGCGTACTTACCAGAATCAGCGTCGTTGTGCAGAATGCTATATGAAACATTAGCAGCAGTTGGCGTTGTAGGAAGAGTGTAATTCGTCTCCATAAAGAAGTCTCCATAAGGAAGAGTGTAATTCGTCCCATATCACAGCTCCATAAAGGACAATCTTCTCAGCTACAGTCTTATACCAGTTTCGATGTAATCTGCTGAATGTGCCCCACCTGCTCGAGATTGTAGGGTTCATTGAGGGCGTGAGTGAGCTAATTAAATTCTTGAGCGAGTTGATATGTGAGAGCTAGTCTGTTGCCAAGCGCTATTCAGAAATATTTAAGCTCTTTGACACAACTGGATGACAAAGAGTCTGAGACAGGGATTTCTTCTTCTCAAGGGTGCCATCCTATAATTAGGGCTTGTGTTTTCGGAACATATAATTGACACCTATGCTTAATAGCCCATTGTGCAAAGATATTCAAGCATTCCTGCCCATGATTCTCCAGTTTCCCAGATTACTGCGGCCCGATACCGTTAGTAAGAAATTGTCTGCAGAGGCCATAAAGTCCCTCCTACCTTCTCAAACAGAGAGAAGGTAGTGTATTTGCTACTAGATTCCAAAGAGTAGGTCCTAAGCATGAACCCTGCGGACAACGTCTTGTGAGTGTTTTCTGCACTATTTAATCTCTAACGTGATTTGCACACTACGGTCTTTCAGACAGTTTCTGAGATGTATTGTATTGAACCTGGGCAATTCAGGGTATCCAGATTCTTCATTATGTTAGGCCCGCTGACTGCCATATCTATGGATCCAAATTCCACCCCCAGAGAAGGCATGGATGTTGTAAAGGTGTAGTATTTGTGCGGCAAGGGGGCATTCAAAAAACATGGCGAACCCATAGTATTCTCGAGAGGTTGAGGGTAGTGAAAGAGGGGTGGGAGACACTCGGACCGCCATCTCAAAGTGTTCTTTCTTAAAATGCTGACGAACCGTCAGCATAGTTGCTGTTAAAACTTACACATAATACACTTTAAACTGCCAACGATACGCCAGCGTTTCATGTAACCCAAATCATGAACAGATAAGCTACAGTATTGCACTATCAAGGTTTTATCACTGGTGTCTAATATGATTTGTCAAAATCAACTCACTGAAAAGCAATATTATTATCTCCTGGAGATATAATAATAATAATGCTAAAGGTATATTCATCAAAAGTACTCAACTTTCCGTTATTACCTGAACAAAATACACTCCTTCTAAAAAACTAAGGAAGAAAGGCGCAACACGGGACAAAATAAAAACTATTCAATGGATATGCGTGAAATTGATTCCAGAGATTGGTGTGGCATTATTAGACCACATAAGCAAAATAATAAAGCAAAGACACACGAAAATACATGCATTACGATCACCACATCCTGGAAGACTAAATGAGTCGGAAGTATGGGCAATGGAAACATCATGCTAATAACGGTTATGATAACCTCCGGCTGAAATGCATTTCCAATGATTTACAACGGCGAGGCAATTTTGGCAATAGTGTCGTTGGCCACTTGCTGTGATGGTAGTACCAGTTCCTGTGGTAATGCATATCGGAGCTCGTGGAGGGTGCCTCGTGACCTACTGCGATCTGCTATTCGTTGTCCAGACATGTCCCACACATGGTGTGGGGGATTCAGGTCCAGTGATCTAGCAGGCCAAGGCAGATGTGAAATGGTTTCACTCTCCATACAACTCTGTACCACTCTAACTTTATGCGGACAGGAGTTATTCTCATTAAATATTGCAACAGTACCCATTGCAGCGATAAAAATAAGCACAAGGGCTGTAGAATTTCATTACGATATTTGGACGGCTATGACGGGACCACCAGGATTCACGTAGAGGTCAATGCAGCCGTTCGCTGCTATCCCATCCCATACAGGTAAGCCTTCTCCTCTGTATCGAGAATCGTTCTGGATGTTAAATCGAGACTCATCTGTAAAGAGTGCCTGGCACAGCCATATTTAGACTTGATAAGACCCTAAGCTATTTGAGACATGGGGCCTTTTATAAGTCTTTTATAATATATTTTAATACTATTTATACTATATTTTAATTTTGGGGGGCCCCCAAGAATGTGGGGGCCCTAAGCTATAGCTTGTGTAGCTTATAAGTAAATCCGGCCCTGGTGCCATGCGACAGGGACAAAGAAACAAAAACCATAGGGCGTCAAGCGTACAGTCCGCTTTCATGCAGTCGACGCGATATAGTTTGGCTGGATATGGGCCGTTCTGCAGCAGCAGAGAGAAAAGACGTCAGCTGTCATGCTGTTAGCGATCTACGGTGTCATGCACACAGCAACAGAAAGCGATCGTCTGCCATTGTGGTAATCCTCCAGTGTCCAGACCCACCTTTTCTACAGGAGTTTTGATCCCTTTGGTAACGATTCGTCAGCCTGCTGATGATACTAAGATGCGCATTCAGCTCTCTTGCAACAGCAGATAGTTTTGCACCAGCTTGCAACATCCCGAGAGATCTCTAACGCACTTCATCGTGAAAATAGTTTCTTCGGCTCATGCTTTCCGTTTTCCGTTTTTTTCGGCTATCTCGGATTACATGAAATTGTTGCTGCTTTCAAACTGACATATAGGTTCTATCCCTTTATAAGGCGTTGTGGTATGATTACGGTATTGCGTTTTATGCTAATTTTGGTTGCCTAATTGCATTTGCCTTATATGTAAATTATATGAGGCAAACCTCATATGTAAATTGTATGATTTAATTCCTCTTTTTACATTCGCACCCCTTTTTTGCGTTTGTTGCTTATTAATTGTTAGTACTAATATACTTAGGAGTCCTTTTAGATGGCAAATTCACCTTTAAGGAGCCTGTTGAATAAGCGTTCATTAAAGCTAACTCCTATACGGCCTTACATTAGCTTGCTTGACAAGAATTCAATGCGTAGCCCCAAGAGTAAAACAACTCTCTAAGGCCAATATTTGCCTATGCCATATCAACTTGGGTCATCATTTTAAAAACCCAACAGCAAAAAATATCTCGTTTCTAGAACAAGTTCCTAAGAAACATGATAAGTTCTCCATGGTTTGTGTAATTTTAAATGAGATAGATATAGTTCACGTACATGACTATAAACAACAATTTACCATAACTTCTTTAGTAAAACTTCAACGTCAGAATTTTCATCATTCACGAAGTGTGTTCCTACAGTATTAAATAATTCTAAAAAACGAAGAATAGTGCACTACGACCCGAGTTTCATATATTACTTTTGTGTTTGTATATTCAGGGGAATAGATTGATTATTTTTGTATATACTTCATTAATTTAATATCGTGAGTGCATCTATTAACGTCTATAATCTGATTCAGACTGTACACAATTCCAGAAACATTTTATTGTTTCCTATCCTCCACCGCTTCTCCAGCTTGACAGCATAATATCACATTACAGTGCAGTACTTTGAGTATTATTTCATATTTTTAGCCAGCTCTCCCGAAGACATATCCAGAAATTCAAGTAAAACATTCAGGTGTTTCCAGGTCTGAAGAATTTCCAAGTCCGAGAGTGAACTATTGATAGATGATTTACTTCAACCGACTTAAGCTTTGCTAGGTTTAATAGCTCGCGGAAGTTAAATGCCTGAGCTAAAATTTCCAGCAGATTTTGTCTTCAGACATTAACACTTCAAATACTTTGTTACCTTCTGTCACTCAAAGGCAGCTCTACAGGCAATCCTGAATGGAAGCTCCCTGATCACCAACGGGATCCACTTTTGTCTAAAGAAGCTTCAAAAGTTAAATAACGTAAATTCCACGGCCAAGTACAGACTGAAGGAACTTTCAATTCCAATAACGCACTAGCTCCACAACATCAATAGAGATCTACTGTAACTAAAACCAGACTTGTCAGACTTGGAATTGGCCATTCACAGAGGACTGAAAATTGACAGAGAGGGTAGAAAGGGTACAGAGAGTGTAGGAAACCTTACAGGAATTGTGATAACTGCCCGAACACAGAACTGACAACTTCATACATTTTTGACAACGCACACACAAAAAAGGAATAAATACAAATTTAAACTTTTAATAATGTCTTAAAATCCTGTAATTTCATTTCGCTTGTGAAAGATAGTGAATAATTAATACCCCATATTTCGTGTCAGCAACTGAATTCCATAAGAAATACTCAAAATAGTTTCAAAGAAGAAACTAAGTTTTTAAATGCAGAACAATGTTGTCGAAAACTGTCGATAAGAATAAACGTATTCTGATTGTATAGTTATAAAATTACTTTTTAACTTTCATTGTATCATTTCCATAATAATATTAGCTAAGGATGTATGCATATTCTTCCTTTATATTATAGGTTTCTGGCTGCTGCCACATGAAACGTCTCGTTACATGATTGGTTGTTCAAATATCATCGTGATGTCTCTGCTGCTACAACATCTTGCTATGACCACACCAGCTGGGAAAGACATTCCTTTAATAGGTGAGCAAAAATGTTAAATAAAAAAATCGATGCAGAGTTAAGAATAATGTTTTTTGATCTTGTGCTATGACGAAATACACGAACATAACAATTTCTGTCGTAGACAGCAGTAAACGCCTTCTGTTTTCAAAAAATTCTCGAGTTTTATTGCTGAGATATTTAATACGAATTATCCGTAACACAAGATGTGCACCGTGCCTACAAAAGTTTTATTCGGCCTTTATTTTCTCAACCGTTAGTTTTAGATATATATGTCCAATTAGAAAAGTGTTTTTAATGGCGCAAATATTCATGTTATGTCACTTTTAAATTTGAAAAAAAATCAGTTTGTAATAACTGCAAAACATAAATTTTACACCGTTTTCCTATCCCAATAGTAAAGTTTAGGCTAATTGTCAAAAATAAAATATAAAAGGTTTGACTCTCGTGTGACAAAAGTTGGCAGGCATATTAATTTCAAAATTTGGAAAATATTACCTCATTTTCGACTTTTCTTAAAGTGCCGCTTAAAACTTTAATTAGAATAATTCGAGGTTAATTCCCCTTCCCCTTAATATCATTCATTGATAATCTTTCGATATTTACTACTGTGTAAAATTGTTTAATTTATAATTTTGCTACCTTTAGTACACCGAAAGAAATTTCTCACGGGTAATTTATAAGTTTTTAACTACGAATAAATTACCTGTGTGAAATTTCTTTTCCTAAAAATACATTATATATCCTGTTAATAATTATAATATATAACCACGTAACTTACTAATTATATAAAAATTCATTAAACTAAAAATAGGTTTCATTTTTAGTTTATGCAAATAATCACATACCATGTAGTTATGTGCCCATAAGTCTGTAACTGTTTTCTAGAACGCGAATACTACAAGATTTTGTGAATAAGATCTTCTTTTTGAAAAAAAAATTATACTGATCTTTCTGAAAATAATATAAAAAAGTTATATTTTTTCATGACAGTCTGCATAACGGTACTCTTTACTTAATCTATTAACATCAGAAACATGTTTCTGAGCATTAATTTCATTTATAGCTGTCTACAGTTGCAAAAATTTCGTTCTTTAATTTATATACAGCTTCTGAACATGATCTCTACTAGTTTATTGATAAATTATTGATTAGCTTTTAAAACTAAATTTCACGGGCAATTTTTGTCGTGTAAGAGTCAAACATTTTGTACTTTATGTTTTAGTACGGGTACAGAGTTTTACTAACATAAATGTAGCGACTGGAGGACCGTACAAAAATTAGATTTTTTTAATTTTTACGGACTTCAATTTTTAAATTCAGAAATGACTTTATGAATATTTAAGTCATTTAAAACATTTTTCTGCAACACAATATTCGATAAGTTTATTTTTTCTTGAATCTTTGTGCCATGGTTCTCCTCACAATGCTTTCTCATGGGCCGAAACAGACATTATAGCCTTGCGATGAAAGTCGCACTTTTTGTTGCGAAATTCTAAAATGCGAACTAACTTGCATTCTCATAGCAGTTGATGCGCACTTTCATGTTAGTACTTAAAAAAGTAATAAAAATGTGATCTTATAAGTACAAAATTTTTCTTCTGAGAAATAAAACAAAAAAATATACTTTAAATGTTTTATAGAAGGTTTCTGAGTAATAAGAGTTATAGTTATGTAAAATTACAATTAATCAAGCACCGTAACATCTTCTTATTGAACTAAAATTTGTGTTTAATAGCATAAAAAATTCTTCAACTTTACTGAGCTCATAGTTGTAAACTTTAAACGTAAGTCCGCTTTCATCTAGTAACTTCATTATGTCCCATTGCTTGAAATGCTTTGATAGCCAAATCATACTAAACAATAAAACGCTAAAATAAAAATATTTTGTCACACAAATTTTAGAATATCTAATTATTCCTTTCAATTTAAAATAATTCGATAGTCTTGCTTCTGAACTATACTTTTATTTTGATTTAACATACATGTCTAATAAATTCCTCAAAACGTTTTGTTTCATATTATATGAGACAAAAGCGGCCACAAACCAAATAGTCCTTTAAGTCTTCCTTTTAATTTGCGTATTTTCCTCTCTATTCTAAAAATAGTAATATTTTTTCTGAACTGCATCATTTTTAGAATAATCATATTACATGACTTTTATATAACGATGATGACGTAGCTACTTCAGAATTTAAAGCGAAGCCTTTGTCTTAAGAAGCCTCCATACTGGATGACTAAGCACTTACCTTCTGCACCTTGGTGTAATCAGCATTTATGCAATCAGCTTTCATACATTACTACAGCTAGTCGACTAAAATATCATCCGTCTCGGAAACCCCTAACTGAAAGCTCAGTTATCTGTGCAGAATGCGCTCTGTCTTAAAGTTCACTTTATTTATTATGTTACACTTCCACACACAAAAACATATAAATGTGTATGTGTATAATAAAATATATTATATATTGACGATTGGGCAATAATTGCAACATGTTTTTCTGCGTAGTTTGGATAATGCATAACGAAAGAGAGACTTTCGGAGAGACGTGGCTGTTGACACATCACATAATTTTAGTTCTTGATAAAGCAACCTTTGAAAACAACATCAGGTTCACATATTATCATGGCCGCATGTGAAAAATTTCGCAGTTCTTGAAAACCTTGTTTGCATATCATAATATAATTTTTACAGTCTTTCTCATGGAAGTCTTCGCAAAACTGTTGTATTGAATATAAAACCGAAAATTTTCTTGTAAGTATTCATGAAAATTGTTATTTATTTACTGTAAAACAATCCGCATTTTTTTATTTTAAAACAAAGTATGTAAGATCTGTCTCTTTTATTCCACATAAACTAAATTAGATCCTACAATGAACCTGACGAATTCTCGCACAGGCGTGAATAAATTACCAGCACAGAGGAAGGGTGAAAATAATCCTTTATTTAAGTCAAATAATTAACAGAAGGCCACGATCTTCGTGCTTTACAATGGCACCATCAACTTGCGGTGAATCTAAAACGTAGAATATAATTCAAGTCAAATCTAAAATAAAATATTTCTGGATTAGTACGTTAAATTACGAACAGGTTGAGAGATAGCAATAAAACATGCGTTGGCTAGCGAAAACACGCTCTGAATAAACTCAGTGATTCACCTATTTGAATACTCACTTCACTTAATTTTAAATTTAAAGCCTGGCAAGAAAATGAGAGGGGAAGTTGAGAAGTTCAGAAAAGGTATAAACTTAAAATAAATTTGTTGTGCAAAATAAAGGAAACCCTACAAGTAAAATGGAACTTTAGAAGCAAATAAACATAGAAAAGTAACAAAATACAGTAAAATAACATAAATTTTGATAAAAATATCGGCAGGTTCTCTACAAGCGAATCAGCGTAACTGCTTGCTGATGGCTGTGGGATGCTCAAATATAACAGCAAATAAATATCTACATTCCTTATACAAGGTTAACTGGCTTTTAACATTGTATAAATATACCAAAGTTATTAATTATGATTTATACTTCACTTATCTTTATTTATGAGTTACTTTTCACTTACCACAAGTATGTTGCCGAACTTGATGAAGCTGAACGGAACGGAAGAATTGATTGAGGAATTATAATTTCCAGAAAGTTGGTTTTTGCAATTATCTTTCTAAAACAAACCATCTAACAACGGCCAGCATACAAATTTCACTGTGCCTGGCAAAACATGGTTAACGGCTCTCCGATGGAGATTTAACTTTTCGGCACGCGGCTCCAAGAAGGTTCGCCACCTCTGACCTAGACCGTAACAGTTAATCACTAATTTCGAGAACATTTTTATCTCTCTAAAGTGAGTTCCTTTGGAGTTTTACGAGACAGATAAAGTTCCTGGTGGCTAATAAATCCGTAATAAATTCTATAATATCTTGATGATTAGGTGATAGTTGCAACAACTTTGCAAAGGCCTTTTTTCCGCGCAATTTGGATGATGCATAACCAAAGAGACGACAGAGTGGATTTCAGACTGACGTGGCCGTAGAATACATCACATACTTTAGCTCTTGATAAGAAAACTTTCAGAAGCATAAACAGGTTCATGCATTATCATGCACCCAATCTTCATAACATTCTTTAAAATTTTACCTCTTAGGCAATAGGCAAAGCAGAGAGGTAAGCGACGCGTCTTAGCAAGAGCGAAGCCAAAGCGAAAAGAGAGAACGCATTCAGCAAAGCTTGTCAAAAGTTTCTTTAATCTGATTGGATAAAAGCTGTCCGCATTGCAGGATTACATAAGAAGAAAGCCTGAAACAGATTAATTTTGAAAAGACGTAGTACAGAAAGTTATTGTAAATAATTTCTAATTTTAGAACAGAAAGGGGGAATACATAAATTAAAATGAAGAATAAGGGAATTATTACTTATGTATGATTGTGATTCACGCATATAAATCTTATACGAATTAAAGTAAAGCACGTGATTCATTTTTATTTTGAAATGCGTTAAATAAGACAAAATTTTGACACAAGAATCTGCTTTGTGTAAACTGAAAATATAAGAAATGAATATTTTGTTGTGCGTAACAGATATATTCGCATCGGCTTTTATCACTGTGGGTATTTGTCAATGTGTATTTTTATCTGATTGGGCTTTTAATCAATGTGATTATCTACCTGTTTGGACTTTTATCAACGTATTTATCGTGTATGCAATCATGATTGTTCGGTTTTTTAAATGGACCTTTGTCGTTTGGGTTTTCGCCTACTGGTCTTTTACCCGGTCACCGAATTTTAGTTATTTTATGCAGACTCTTTTTTTAATCGTTACCATTTTTAGAATTGACCTGCATTAGTAAATTTATATCAATTAAAACCTTTTCAATCAGTTAATTTTTTACCCATTTAGAAACTGATCAATCAGAAAGGAACAGGAAAATATATTGACAAGGTCTGCCATTTCCTGTCCGCATTAAGTAACAAGTTTTAAATTTCCATAGTAAACTAAACTTCTTTAAGCCTTATTTAATTCAGCGAACGCGTGGGGCATATGAATCCCAGCCCCACCGAAATAAGCATAGATATGCAAAGCATTTTGATAAGAAAAGCCCTGAAGAGAGTCTTTGACGCTAGTTTTGTTTTGTAGGACCTCTTTCTTATTCTTGCGGAAAAATAAATAAATAAATAAAAGGTATAAAGAAAATAATATTACGTGATATAAAATATCAATTTTTGTTTTTGTAATAAAAATATACTTTGTTAATTGTCTTAATCTTTATGGTGAAAACGTTTTTCATATTATAATGTGACTTTCACCTCTCCTTTATGTGTTCACTTAGTAATCACATGTTAAAAGTATTGTATTTAGTTTGACTATTTTATTATTATTATTTTTATTTTTAGCACAGTACAGCGCTACATGTCTTTGCATGTCTACCTTGTTTGTTTTGATCACAGTGGTAACGAATCTCCTCAGAGATTCCTCTGGAGCACCACCGAATGGTCTAGTGCGTTTGGCTCATGGTACTCTGGATAAATACCTCTGCTTGTTTATGTTTTCTTATTTTACAAATGAAGACAAAATTCTTGCAGAAGTGTCTTCAGAGACTCGTAGTGTGACTTCGCTTGAGGAAGTTAAAAAACGGAACGACTGGATTTGTGTCTCTCTGGTGATAGATAGGATTGCATTTTTTGTATTCACCTTCATTTATATCATTCTAATTATTGTTCTAGCTTCTGTGTAAAAGACTCAACTGTAAAATTACAGTTTTTATTCGCTTGTAAGAATTAATAAAGCCCTTTGATGGAATAATTTGCAGTATGTTATTCAGAGATTCTGACCAATTTAATGTTTCAACCCGTCAAAACACTAATATTCTGTAGCTCTTAATTTAATTCCTTTGCTTGCCAGAGTCTTGAATCCAACGCCTGTTTCAGACTATACGTGTACCAAGGTGAGCTATTATCAGCACTAGAGTAAATGCTTTACAATAAAATTAAAACAACACTAACTTTCATTTGATTAACTTCATTATGACAAGCTTATAAATGAACTTAAAACAATGTAAAGTCCACAACTTCTGAATTTTGCGAACTTCCAAACACATTCAACAATTGCTGGTTTAAAGCTATTACGACTAGAATTTCTAACTAATCAATGAATTAAACACTTGGAAGTAGATTTTCTTTCCAAATTAAACTTTCATCTAATCCTTCTCTCTGTAAATGCTCTCGAAGTCAAGACCAGTTAACATACTCACAATTGCGAACAAGCCCTTTTTTTAACAGAAGCTAATCCGAAGAATATGAATGGGAACGTACCCACGTTCTTTGGCTAATCTCACTAGGATCCAGCGTAAGCTATAGATCAGGAATGACAGTATTTAAACTTTATTCTCAAGTACTTATAATTTCCATAAATTTCTGAACTGGACGACGAAGCCGAGAATAAACAAAACAGTGTAAAAATTTATACTTAATTGTTAGATACACGTCATACTTATCCCGTATTCAGGGCCGTTCCTAGGCCATTGGCTGCTCGCGTACTTTCCTAAGATTGCCGCCCCCAGATTAAAAAAAATGCTCAATGATTAATAAAATTTTTATTTCGTACTCACTAAGTACATACATATGACAAATTGTATAAAAAGTACTTACAATGAATTTAATGAGTTTAAAATATCTAGGTGTGGTGTCGCGAGAGTCCGGCCGACCCTGATTTTCACCACCCGCGTACTTTTACGCACTCCACCCCTGCTAGGAACGGCTCTATTTAATTACTGGTATACATTAATACGTTACACACACACTGGACAAATTATTTAAAATAATTTCTAAAATTTCAGTTTGGTATCTATAATAATAAAAGAAAGTTAGCATATATGTGCACTCTGCTACCTCTGCGTAGTAACGGAAAATTCACAATTATAGAATGCGGCACGTAGTTTTCCACCACAGGGGAATTTCATGTGCCCCTAAAGTGATTCTTTTGAAATTACTCCTTTCTCCTTTTTATTTAGTATTGAAGCTCTTTGCAGATGTAGGTGGAAACACCTATCTTGTCTGTATATCTTGGCTTCCTATCAACATACTGTTCAAATCTAATGAACAGTAAGTTGGTCAGACAATTAAGTTTGTAAGGATCTTAAGTTTTACTAACGTTTATTTTATTTTAAAACTTTACTATCTTTTCTTATTTTCCACTTCCAGCCAGAATTAAATGCGTTAACTTGTTTATGCAAATTGTACTTGCTAACGCCCAAGCATTTAAGTTGTGGCTTTTTGCCAAGCATTAGAGAGAGAGAGAGGAAGTGAGTCGCTTTGCGACTGCATTACACGCAAGTTTTCAATCAGCTGCTGCTTGCCTTTAAGGCCAGAGGTTTCGTCCTCTTGATATTTAAAACGTATTGTAGTTTCGGCAGTTTGTGTACTACATATGTAATCTTTTAAAAGGCCAGTCTTAGTAGACTAGAACTAGAAGAGAACACATATATTACTGGAGTCTCTAAACTGATAAATGAAGCCCATACTGCTCGATCCCTAAAGATCCTTCAACTTCGGACCTCACGAAAGTTAAAAGTGCTATCAAATCTTCTCATATTCTGCCAACGCAGTTGAAGAAATCACTTATTCCACCTATTACTAATTGCGCTAGGCTTTATGCTCTTCCAAAAGTCCACAAAACCGGTATTCCTTTTTGACGAATTGTTTCCAACATAGGTAATGCTTCATATCCTTTGGCCAAATATTTAGTTTCCAGATTTTCTCCTTTACTTGCTAACAATATTCACACTGTAAAAAATTCTGTTGAAGTCATTGTTAAACTTAAAAATATTTCTCCACTTCGTTCCATTATGGTTTCATTTGATGTCAAAATCACTGTTTACTAATGTTCCGGTCGAAGGAGCCCTAAATTGTCTTGAAACTAGGCTTCGGGAATTTCACTTCACACATACTGAAATTAATGAGTTGGTTTCGCTTACTAAAGTCTCTCTAAGTCAAATCCACTTTGTTTTCCAAAATGCATATTTCCGTCAAGTTGAAGGATTGGCTATGGGTAATCCTCTCTAGTCCGGTACTTGCTAACATTTATATGCACTATTTTGAAATGAAATTATTTGATAAACTATCTTTTCGTCTTTGGATTCGGTATGTAGACGACACTTTCACGCTTTTTGACTGTTATAAAGATGATTTATCCGAAATTCTATCTATTATGAATTCAATTGATCCAGCCATCCAATTCACTCTTGAAATTGAATCCAACAATTCCCTCCCCTTCCTTTATATTCTTATAACCCGCAATGAAACTGATTTTAGCACTACTGTGTATCGTAAACCCTTTGCAGTTTGTTTACCACCCCATGCCAAGTCATGCCACCCTGTTTAAGCAATAAATGGCTTCTTTTTACTATTATGTATTCCGCACGCTTAAAGTTTGTTCCTCTGAATCTTTGCTTACCAATGAACTTAATTATTTGAGAGCAGTTGCGATTGACCGTGGATTTTCTCCCGTGATTATTGATAAAGCCGTTAAAAAATTTTCAGATTCCCATGAAAGAAGACATTCCACTGTTAGAAATAATATTAATGACCTGGTCGTGCTTCCATTTTATCCTTCTGTTAGCTATAAAATTGCACGGATTCTCCAGAAATTCAATTTTCAAGTCGGTTTCTCCCCTATTAATAAAATTCACCCTTCGATTCTAAAAGATTGCGTTTCTGTCTTGAATTCTTGGGGAATTTATAGTATATCGTGTCAGTGTGGTATAAGATATATTGGCCAAACAAAAAGAGCGTTGAAGTTTCGTATCAAGGAACATGAATCTTATGTCAGAAAAGGCGAAATTAACAAGTCTTCAATAGCGTATCATAGTTGGACATTTAACCATAATTTTGACTCGGGGGTCTGCAAAAATTATCCAAAAGGCTTCTTCCATAGGTAAATTGGATTTTTCTTGAGGCTTTTCATATTCACAGAGATTTAGAAGGTTAATGATTTGAAGTCCAATCCAGTCCTTCCTAATGACTTTAAAATTCTACTATCTTAATTCAGTTATATTTGCCGATAGATAGCGTTACCTCCTCGCGTTTGGTACTACCAGAGGGTAAAAATCCGTTCAGTGGTTGCTTTCCATTATTCGAAGTTCAGATTTTGAGCGTGAAGGTGCAATTGCCCCTCGCTCCCTATTTTTAACTTCGCTAATTCTTTGTCCTTTGTTGTTACATGTTTGATCAGATAGCCTGGCCCAGTAAAAGTAGGCGGCCAGTGTAACTCTGATTAAAAATCCGGTTATAACCACGTGCAGTGCTGATAAGGACCACGTGTTTCTGAGACTCCTTCCACTTTATTTTTCTTCTTTCTAGGTATTTCTTTCTCCTGATGAGGAGGGACCTTTAGCTGTCCTCGAAATCGATTGAGTGTTCAATTATACTTACGCAAAATACAAGGTTGTTTTTACAATTTTGATTGCCAGCCTTAGTGTTAGGCATTTGCAAACTAATTCAAAGTTAGCTCTTATTTAAAATTCTAGTTATTAGTTTTATATTTTTACGTTGAGACCACAAGTGGTTGGTCTCTGTATCCCGAAGTGTGGGAGCACCTGTAGCAACCTTATAGAGAATGAAGGGTAAAGTCAACCTTTCCTGCTGGTGTTGTCTAGTCCACACATATTTGAACATAGCTTGAGTAAACTATCTTTTCCTATTCAGGACACATCACGTTTCCAAAGCAAGTCAAAAGACATATTACTCAAAGTGTTTCTGATTGATCATCATCGACCAGTCAAAAAACATACAAGTCCTGACAAGTTAGTTTCAAAACTTAGAGCAACTGAACTCAACGATTTTTTCTCGGCAGTCAACAGTTATTTGATAGTATGCTAACAATAAGCCTTGACTACAGAGGCAAAACTCACTCAGATCTACAACGCATTTTGGGTTGGAATGGGTACTTGTTAAGTTCCTAACATTTCCCGAACTCGGTCAAACCTTTCGTGGATTGCCGAAGTGCAGTAAATGTCAGCGCTAAATTCCTACACTTTGGGTGGCTTATGCTGCTGGACAGCAATACTTCGAAACGGATTCCTCTTGTTCCTAATTAAGATTATTTCTACCTTCAAAATAGGCCGCTTGTATAAAATTTGCATAGTTCTTAGGAATATCGTGAGGAGACAAAACACGTAGATGGAAATTAGTACAAAGCTAATATAATAGTAAGTAAACTCAAAACATAAACGTCAGATCTTAGGATTTCAATTTTTGCACCATCGAAAGAATCGGATTATCTTCCAAATGAAGTTTATTTCGAATCTTCAGCAATTTGCCAGTTTTTAGAAATTTCTCAAAAATCGATCGAATTTTTCGATTTCATAAATGACTTTTCATGACTTTGCACACAATTTCACGATTATAAAAATTTTTTACACTCATTACTTATTTTGAATAATTACAACAAATTTCAAAATTTCATAACATGAATAATTTTTATTAGTTTTATAATAGTATTACTGTTAAAATTATGGAAATTATGGTTTTTGCTGTTATTATTACATTTCTAATTTTCTTATGTTATGCAAAACTGGGAGACCCCCAAAGTTTTTTCTAAATATAAACGTATATCTGTTGGGTAAATCCTATTAAATTTAGCGATCTATTAATTCAGCAGTGGTTAAGAGATTGCTCTGGAAGTTACTTATAAAGGCCTCCGTTCCTTGCATAAGTAAACTGGCCTTTGAGATCTGCTCTCAGAAAAAATTAAAGCTGCACTCCCTCATATATTAAAAAACAAAATATAAATTATATATGAAAAAA